CAAATTCACCCAGTTTGGTGAATAATGTCAATGTTATTCCAGGAATCAGCGACCACATGGCTGTTGTTGCAGAAATCAAAAAAGAATGTAAAAACACCTCAAGTAGTGCGGCAAGAAAGGTTTTTCTGTTCAGTAGGGGTGACTACACAAGAATAGTCGAAAAGCTAGAAGATTATTTGCCCGTGTTTGAATGCCTAGCTGAACACTACAGTATGAATGATTTATGGCTTAGCTTTAAGGACAAGTTGTTAGCACTCGTAGATAAGTATATACCTGCGAAACAAGCCGGAAAGCTTCGTAAACGCAAGAAGCCATGGATGGCGTCCTGTATTTTGAGATTAATCCGGAAAAGGCGACGGGTTTTTGGTAAATTAAAGAAATCTAGAAGCAGTGACCACGTGAAAGAATTACAAGCATTAACGGAGCAGTATAAATCATGTGTGGAAAGCGCAAAAACGAAATATTTCGAAGGGCTCAGCAATAAAATGAAAACTAATTCAAAGTGTTTCTGGCATTATATCAAAGAGTGTGGGTCTGATCATGTTGGAGTGGCTGAACTAAACTTTAATAATATGGTTGTAGTTGATGAGGAAGCAAAAGCTAACTGTTTAAACAAATATTTCCAGTCTGTGTTCTTGTCCAAGCGTGACGTTCCTTCAAAACCACACCCAACCACGATTCCGCCGATGCCACCGGTAGAACTGAGTGTCCGTGGCATATGTTCTCTTCTAGAAAACCAAGATGAATCCAAAGCAGTTGGTCCTGATGGCATCTCTCCTCGTATTCTAAAGCGATGTGCACTGCCAATTTCCCTTTACCTTTATATAATTTATTCAAAATCCCTTTCAACGGGAACTCTACCCGAAGATTGGAAAATTTCTCATGTTGTTCCGGTTCATAAGGGTGGCTCAAAAAAAGATGTAACAAATTACCGACCCATTTCATTGACGTCAGTGGCATTCAAAATTTTCGAGCACATTTTATCCAAGCACATATTGACCCATCTTACTGCTAATAATGTATTAATAAATGAGCAGCACGGTTTTCGTAAAGGTTTTTCTTGTACGACGCAACTTGTAGAGTTCTTTCACGAGCTGGCTTCCAACGTTGATGAAGGTGGGCAAACAGATTGTGTGTTTTTAGATTTTCGAAAGGCCTTTGACACCGTGTCACACTCCCTTCTCCTGGCTAAATTACAGACTCTAAATTTCGACCCAAATGTGTTCATCTGGATAACCAATTACTTGCTGAACAGGCGTCAATGCGTTCTTTTAAATGGGAAGTGTTCATCCTATGTTAACGTTACATCAGGCGTGCCCCAAAGCTCTGTCCTTTGGCCTCTCTTATTTCTTATTTTTGTAAATGATATTTCTGTGGGTATTTCGTCGCGCATGCGTTTATTTGCCGACGATTGTGTGTTATATCGACAGGTTCAGAACGAAGGTGACTGTGCTTATTTGCAGAACGATTTGGATTGTATTGTACAGTGGTGCCAGAAGTGGCAAATGACGCTAAACCCCAAAAAGTGCGTTCATATGCGTGTTTCCAAAAAAAAGAAACCAATAGTAACGGCGTACACCATAGATACGCATACTGTTATTACCGAACCAACATGCAAATATCTTGGCGTTGTTTTGTCGCATGACTGCTCATGGAATGTCAATGTTGATCACGTTGCTGGCAAAGCGTCAAGGGCTCTAAACTTCATTCAGAGGAACCTAAGATTGGCACCCCGAACATTAAAAAATACAGCCTATCTCACATGTATTAGACCGATTTTGGAATACGCATGTCCTGTGTGGGACCCGATGCAGGTGAACTTGATTGATAAGCTTGAAAAAATACAAAACAGAGCTGCGCGGTTTGTTTTAGGGCGGTACGAGCGGAGAGACAGCTGCAGTGCTATGAAAGCTGAATTGGGTTGGGAATTGCTTTCTTTACGCAGGAAAAAACTACGTTTGAAGTTTTTCTTTTCTGTTTTTCATGGGTGGACTGGGATTGACCATCATAACTATTTCAGTGAACCCAGTTACATATCTAGTCGACATGGCCACCGACGCAAAGTGAAAGAGTATCGTGCAAGAACGACCATGTTTTATGATTCCTTTTTTGTGAGGACCATTAGAGATTGGAACCGGTTGCAAGACAAGCAAGTGTGCTGTATAAACGAAGAATTGTTTTATTCCAGTCTGTAACCCCCCTGCTGTAACGCCTTTTTGAGCAAAGCGGGGCACTCACCGAATAAAGAATAAAGAAAAATAAAGAAGGGCAAATGTCAGAGACCAGACAGCCACCACTAAGGCAGCCAAAGTTGCTGTAGTGCCCTACGTGCATGCCATTTCGCATAACTTGCGAAGGATAGTGAGAAAGGCTGAAGAACCGCGGCCGCTTTTTTTTCAGTTCTTTTTCAGTCTTCAAGGGGCACACACCTGTTCGATTTTATAGTGCCGGCAGCAAATATTTTTTTACCCAGAATTTCACGGAGCAGTGGCAGGGACGTAAAGTAGTTGTCAAAAAAAAAAAAAGCTTGTGTCCCACACCAGACGGAATACGGTCAACTAAACGCAGCACTATTGTGCCTGTAACACCATACTGCTATTTGGTGTGGTCTTCGATCTTTGTTGTGGACCCCTGATAGGGCAGAAAGTCATATACAAGGCCAGATTCGCCGCAGAGCATAAATATTTTGATGCCCCATGGGTTCGGCTTTCCTTTGACATATTGCTTGATGTCGAGGTGTCCTTTGAAGGGCACCATCTGTTCATCTATGCAGAGGCGCTCCTCTGCTACAAGTGACTTGCACTTTCTTTGGAAGATATCAAGCAATGGCCTTACTTTCCGGAGACGGTCAGTAGCGTCACGGTAATTCACATCCACAATGTGCAGGTTATTTCGCAACTTTTCGAAGCGGTTGCGCGACAATCCTGCAGACGCCACGATATCGCACCTCATGCTTGGCTTCCAGTAGAGCCTGAGCCTCGGGTAATGGAGAACACCCATTGTGAGATGTAGTGCGACTAGACGCCTTATCTCTGCCTCGTTGGCGTTGATGGAGCTTCCTTCGTGAAACACTGAGTACCGGTTTGTTTTTTCAGCCGGCTCCAGAAATACACGATTTGGCACATACCCTTTGAAATATTCGTAGGGGGACAGCAACTCTCTGAGTTCCGATGCTTCGTGGACATCGCCTTTGTAAGTTGAGTCTGGCGCCTTGAATAATTTTCGTCTCCAGCCGCCAGATGTGTTCAGTGCACTCTCGTCGTCGGAGCTTTCAGTGTCGCTCTCCACTGGATCTTCATCAGGAGCACAAGGCATCACACTTTTGTCGTCTGATTCATCGAATTCCCTGTTGTATGTCGGATAGGTTGCCGTTGTCGAGCTCCTCAAACAGCGCGTCTGTTGTTGCTTGTAGCTGTGTGGAACGGGTTTGGTGACACGAATAAAACGAAGTCACAGGTATACCCGCACCTGCGAACATAGAAAAACAGATTAATTAACATACCACGTCAGCATTCGTTCAGATATCGCTTGTCTAAAACACGCACCACAATCAACTCGGCCACCACCATTTGCAACTGTTGAGCCCTGATGGTGTCAAAATCGTACATGACAAAAGCATGCCACTGCAAAAATGCTGCTCGTGCAAACAAAAAAACTCAAACGTCTTCCAACTAACGTATCACTAGGGCACAACATACAAAAAACTGGGCGCATAATCCAAAAGAATTACGTAGCTACAATTGCAGAAAATCGGAACTCACCCGGCTCCGCGTTCGCCATGATGTCGCCGCTGCTTCTTCTTCGCTGTGAATTCGGTGTTCGAGAAAACACGAGAATACTGATGTCCATGGCAGTAGGTGGGCCGAGACTTCACATTGGGCAAAAAATTGCGAGTTTTTGTTTCGATTTCTCGGCGTGACGGTACCATTTCTCGTGTGGTGTCAATTGACACCGCCAGGGCCGAAAGGGTTAAATTTGTTTCAGCTTTATGTTCCTCATTCTAGTGCTGTTTTCCACACTGCTGAACAATAAAAATTGTGCTCACTACAGCTTTAGGCTTAGGCTGCTTTAGGTTTATGAACACCAAATCGCGCGATCGAATCCCGGCTGCGGCGGCGGCATTTCCAAAGGAAGCGAAAATGCTGTAGACCCGTGTGCTCAGATTTGGGTGCACGTTAAAGAACCCCGGGTGGTCGAAATTTCCGGACCCCTTCACTACGGCATTTGTTTTGGAACGTTAATGCCCACATATCAATTAATCAATCAGGTATGACCACCATCATTTTATTTATCAGCTTTAGTTACATGATGAGTATGCTAGTAGGCCTTTCTAAGGTTATGATTGGCCTGCACATTTGCCTGTGTTGCAACGTTGTCATCAGACACTTCGGAGTTTTTTTTAGCCATTAGGGCACAGTAAATATATGTATCAATATATTGTACACTCACATACAAGCGAAGTTCGGTGGATGAACCAAATATTGTGTTTCATGTGCACGCTTTTGTGTGTGTGTGCGCGTGCATGTGTGTGTTAAGATGTTAGCAGAATGTGTGAAGGTTCAATAGAAATGTTATTCTCTGGCTTGAGTATATCTTAACACATATGAAGAGTCACACTGTAATATGCTTGAACGTGGCCTATCAGACCTTGCTGTGTCTGGCTTTTACCAATAAAACGAGTCCAATAAAACGAGAAAAGATGTATCGGGCACGTGTGCTGATTGTATCAGCATGAATGCGTGTCAGTGATGCGCAGTCTGTTCAAGTGCATTCTCTGGTGCCTTTATAAGCTGAGCTCCAATAAACACCGTTGTCCTTCTTGCGACCATGCTGCTGTCAGCATCGTCTATATGCTCGTGACACTAGCCATACAGTTGCAATTTAAAGCACATTCAATAATGCGCAACACATTTTGTGCAATGACCTAGCTTTTTGTGCATCTCAACCAAGTGTTCCTAATGCAGATTTGTAGTGGTCGAACAATTATTCTGCCTGTGCAGGTATCGAGACATTGCCCTGGTGCCCATCACCGATGTGTACCGTAATTTGCCACGCAAGCTGCTCTATTTCTTTGACTTCTTGCTGCAACGTTCAATTGAATTTGACTTCCTTGTGAAGGCGGATGATGACTCCTTGGTCGACTTGGAAGGGCTGCGAAACAGTGTGCCCAAGCAGCAGCCGCAGCAGCAAAACATTTGGTGGAGTCACTTCAGGCACAATTGGCCAGTGATTCGCTATGGCAAGTGGGCTGAGCACAAGTACAGGTAAGTGGCCTAGGTATGCTATGTACGGTAGCAGAGGGGCTGAAAAACCTGTGCTGCTCTTGCAGTGCGCCCATCTACCCTGCGTTTGCATGTGGTGCAGCGTATGTGCTCTCGAGAGACGTCGTCCTCTGGCTGGCCAGGAACAAGGACTACCTGCACTGCTATCAGGGCGAGGACGTCTCCATGGGCATCTGGCTGGCGGCACTCTCACTGCGGCGCATCCACGAGCCCCGCAACTGGTCATGCAGCTATAGCTGCCCAGACGGCATGCACCGACCCTACAGCAGGGCTCAGCTCTCACCCACCGAACTCAAGACAGTGTGGGCCACTTTCAAAAAGCACAAGAAGCTCTGCTGATGGCACGATGCCATCAATTTGGGGCCTTTTCTCTAGCCATTAATTGCCGATAATTAATGAAAAATGTTGGTTCCTGACTGCATCATCATGTCCACTCCTCTCCCAGTAATTTTACCCCGTCCTGTGCAAGCTGGCTTAGTGCAAACTTCGTAATTCCATCTTCGGATTCTTTTCCCTTCGTCTCTCTAGTTCACTGCATGACCACCAGTCCCATGACACCCTTACGCTCAACATCAGCGACCTCTGTTTTTTCTCTGACTAGTGCTACTGCTTTCCGATCTCTTCATGTTACACCTGCCGTTGAAGAGGGTCCGCCCTATGCACGGCTAGTGCAGAATCCTAGCTAATGCTCCTGCCGTACACTATCGTACCGTGCACGATTAGTGTCCCCTTCTTGTAGTTCGAGTCATCGCAGCTACATGGGTTCAAGCGAATAAGGCAACAGGCTACGCCAACATAACAAACTTTTATTGCTATGTTAGCAATAAGGCATAAATGTTGCGTAGAGGGACTGTCCACCCTACTAAGGTAATAAAGGGTAGACGCTTACGCTTTTGGTAGCTGAATTTCTTGGCTCGCAGGAGTATCTGGGGGTTCTCTGTCTGGTGGCCGGCGCAAGAGACTGCTGTCGGCACGCTCATTTTTCTCAACCTGCCAGTGTCCCTCTCCCCAACGAGGGTTCGTTCCCTCGCTGAGGAAAAGGAATAGCCAGCCGTAGGATGATCGGTCCCTTCGAAAGAGGGACAGACATGTCCTTGAAACTAGGCGGCTATAAGAGGGAAAGGAACCATGGTTGCTTCCCCATACCGTATACTAGGTTAGAGCAGTAAATATACACTGAACATGTACTTTACATTTTAGGGACAGCAGCCTTATGCTTTGGTGAAGTTTCTTTTGGCAATTTATCTAGGCATACATGCTATTCTCCAGAGGTTGGCTGCCAATCACACTTTTTCTTTTGCCAGGCTGTTAACCCATACCTTTGTCTTTAGCAGTCTAAGTCAATAATTATATTTGTCACTTCCATTGCTGAAGAGCACTACATCATCTGCAAATCTTAGGTTGTTGAGATACTGTTAATTAATCCCCATCTTTTCTTTATTTCTCCACTTAGGCATGCGGCAAACAGCACTGGTGAGTCTCGGTTTGATGCCTCTGTCAGTATCATTGCACTTGTGTAGAAGTAGAGTAGCTGTTGGTATTAGCTAGAGTTGCCTCTCTCATCACGGCTCCCGTCTCAATATCTGCTTCGTGGCAGCTATGCTAAGCAATTGCTGGAGTGGAAGTCCCCGTAATACCTTGCCAACAAAAGTGAAGCCAGCTTTTGCCCTCACATTAGCAGTCTCGGCAACTGCCCGAACTGATCTTATCGCACAGTGCATATGCAGCCGAGCTGGCCAAAGGTTTCTCTAGAATGTGCTAGGCAAACGTACAAGCAGTCAAAGGGGTACTGACACAAAATTTCACAGCCGAGATAGCCCGCGGATCGATTACCATGAACATGCATATATCATCTGTATAATATCAACAATGAGCATAGCTTGGAACGTATTTTGTAGCAATTTTGAAGCTTTCATGAGTGATCAACTTCATCGCGCTATTAACACCCTCAAAGGGAACCCTTGGAGACCCCCTACTTCCCTCACGTGACCACGCTGGAGCAAGTTATGACGACGTCATAGCTTGCTTTTTCTTTGGTCGTGTTTGCTCCAGAAGACTCTGCAGCTTCTCACGAGTCTGTGACCACGGCGAAAGCTTTGTGTTTAATGACATTGCTGTCCCATTTCCTGTGCGAAAAAAAAAACTTTTTGAGGCAAACTGCGGAGAAGTGCGTATCAGTTCCATGTGCAGACATGGTTGAGCGTTACATTCGCTAGGTGGGTGATAGCTGTACTCGGTGGCTCATTGTTTTTGAAACCGAAACCGACTCTGGTCGTAATACTGAGCCTGTAATCAATTATCTGTAGGGCACTGCAGAAAACAATGTGTCATGCTATGACTAACTGTAACAGGCCCCCAGAAACACATTGCAGCAAAAAAAAACGAGAGGCCAAAATTTTTTATACGGTACTCCTTTAAACTTCCTCGAACAGAACGGCACAAACCGCCCTTCGAGGTCGAGCATGACATACACGCACTTGCTAGCCTTATGTGTCTAGCAGAAAATGCAGGGAGCAATCTATGCCACATACTAGGTGCACTTCAGCCAGTGGCCACCAGGCGGTAACTCCGCTCGATCTCTGGGCAAGAAATTGCCAAGGAAAGGATCTATGATAATACTCGAGGTAGTTCTCTACTGTTTGAAGCCAGGACGAGAGTTTTGCGAACCAAGACTTATCGGGCCAAATACGAAGGGGTAGACACGGTATGCAGCGCGTGTGGAGAGGAGGAAACTGCCGAAAACTTGATGATGTTCTGTAAAGGGCTTCACCCTATAATTCAGGATAATGGCACAAAGTTTTTCAAAGCATTGGAGCTTAGGGACAGGGAGGGCAAAATAGACTTTAAGCGGGCAGAATCAACTAGAAAGAGGTTATCTGATTGGTGGCTACAATCAAGGCACGAGTGAAAATTGAACTCTTCACTGCAAAGTGCCAGTGCTTAACTTCACCATTAAAAAAAGTTTGTTTTTGTTCATTAAGCACTACGGCTAGGTGGAGTTAGCCGCCGCCCAATCTAAAGCGTACAGCCATATTAATCCATCCATCCATCAATGGGCGAATACCACAGGCACTGGTATGTGCCACAGGTGATTGATAGTTGCATCTACTCAGAAGCAGCGAGAATAGACACCGGTAATTTCAATGTGAGACCGTTAAGAAAACCTTTCACCCGATGAATCAAATGAATAACTATCAGGGTTACAGCAGAAATCAAATGCAAGTATTCTGCGTGGCAATCAAGTGCTCTACTGCAGAGCCACACCAGGTCTCGAAACTAGTTTTGAAAAAAAAAAGAACTATGCATGCGTAATGTTGGTGAAATGTCAATTGTGGCTGCATTGCTGGTTATCTAATTTTATAAACAGTACATACGTACTCTTACAATACAGAGGTCACGTCGGGTTAAGCACCATCCACTGAAATTGGTCCGCATAGCACTAGCCAGGGCCACCATCCTCCCAAGCACAAGGCAACACGACGCATTTTGCTGTTGGCATCATTACACAACTGCTTATATAAAGGATATCTTACTTATCTAGTGGAAAACAAACGGTCAATTTACACAACATACACTCAGAAGTAGCTGTTTGCCTGAACTCACAAGACACTTCTTATACAAGAATATACCTTGTACAAGGATTTACTATCGGCATCAAATAGAACCTAAATAGCGGCAAGCCTTCGCGATGGTATAGTGGGCGCCATTCACTTATCGTAGTGTAAGGCACACATATACGTGAAGAGCAACCGACAGGATGTGCGCGCCTGTCAATGGTGATAAGTGGACGGCGCGCACTATACCATCGCAAAGGCTTGCCGGTGTTCGAGTTTTATTTGATGCACATAGGGTCTGCAAATATAATTTGGGTTTGGCAAAAATTCAAATAGCACCCTTATCTTTCCTCTGTAGTTTTTTTTTCTTTCATTTGATACATAATGGTCTTTAAGATGTGCTATTGTGGTTATTACCAAAAGTGGCTACTTGGGCTGGTTGATATTGCATTTTAAAAAGAAAACCAACATGTTTATTTAGCGTGCAGAACATTTCGGAAAGAACAACATTTCAGAAAGAACCAACCAGTGCTCTGTGATTGCTTACGAATGCTTTTGTGCCATGCGGTTGTTATTGTGTGGTGACATTGAATCTAATCCCGGACCTACTGTCGAAGAATTACTTCTTAAGGTTTTAGAAGGTCAAAACGAATTGCGCAATGAAATCTGTGGCCTTAAGGGCATGTTTGTGGATATCAAGCAGCGGTTCGATGGTATTGAAAAACATATCACTGAACTTAAAACCAAATCATCCAAACTAGACGTTCTTGACAATCTTGTTTCAACATACCAAAAATCAGTTAGCTTTCAGACGCATAAACTTACGGATTTTGAGGATAGAAGTAGGCGCTCGAATTTAGTGGTTTTTGGTATCTCCGAAAGCCCCAAAGAGACTGAAGCGAGCAGAATTAAAGCAGAAAGTAATTGACGCGACGTTTAAAGATAAGCTTGGTGTCACGTGCAAATCAGTAGGGCGTATTCATAGAATTGGAAAACCCGGTACGAAAAGACCCGTCATCTTGTTCTTCCAAGATTTCAACGAAAAATCTGATGTACTAAAGAATGCAAAAAAACTCTAGGGATCTAAAATATTCGTTCAAAGCGACTATTCCAAGCAAACCTTAAAAAAAAGAAAACTGCTTTTGGACAGTGCAAAAGATGAAAAATACCAAGGGGAAAACGTTTACCTAGTTCACGATAAACTGCATGTTGACAAAGAAGTTTTTGTTTGAAACGAAACGGCGAACGAACGTAGAAAAATCCCTCAAAACAAACGGCATACGCATGCAGTGAACGCAGAAGGTGTTCTGAGCAATGCTCATGAAGGTAGTGATAATAGAAGCGCATGACACATGAACAACCAACGTGTAGGACTACTAAATATAAGCGCTCGTAGTATTACAAACAAAACTGAGCATCTTGAAGCTATACTTCTGGCACATGATCCTCACCTAGTTGTCCTTACTGAGACGTGGCTTCATACTTTCGTCAGTGATGATGATGTGGTGCCGCCGGGTTTCAAAATTTTCCGGAAGGGCAGGGCAACTAGCGGGGGTGGTGTGGCAGTTATTCTGAAAGACTGCATAAAAGCTACGTTGCTATCTGATGTGCCCGATCTCGAGTGCTTGTGTTTAAATGTGACACTTGGCTGCCAGAATTTCGTGTTGTACGCAGCCTATCGAGCTCCTGATGCAACAAGCGATTATCTGACAAAGCTGCATGCGCACATGCTACAATTCAACGAGAGAAAAGTAATATTGGCAGGAGACTTCAATCCTCCAGGTATTGACTGGGAAAGATTAGAAGCAGGCTCTGACTCTGTCAATATTTCTTGTATGTTTGATATTATGATTGACCACAATCTTGTGCAAGTTGTGGTTAAACCCACGCGTGTTACAGAGTCTACATCTTCATTGCTTGATTTGGTATTTTTACACCGATCAATCGCTCAGTGCGACGTGTCCCTAATCCCTGTCATATCGGACCACAGTTTGATTAGTGTTTCGTTCCCCTTAAATATAAACCGTTCTGGGGGTGTGAATACCACAAAAGCTGTTAAAAACTTTGCGCACGCTCAAGCTTCGCGTATTTTTTAGTTTTTGGATGATCACGTGGTTGAGTTTTGTGGTGACAATGTGGAACACCTTTGGGAGAAATTCAAGAATATCTGTACGTTTTGTTTAGATAAATTCATTCCCAATAAGCTAAAAAAACGCACCAAGTTCACTCCGTGGGTCACGAGACCTATACTGCATCTAAAACGAAAGGCTGAACGTCTCAGGAAAAAAAGGGCAGCTTCCCAGCGCCTAGGTGAAGTTCCGTCTGCTTTACACGAAGCGATTCAACGCAAGAAAAGCTTTTATTTCAATACTACAATGGCTAATTTTATTAAAGATGACCCGCAGAAGTTTTGGGCCTACATTAGCGATCGCAAAAAGAACGTAGAACAAATTTCTGTGAACGGTTCTCTGGTATCGGATGCGAAAGCGATTGCTGATCATTTTAACTCTTTTTTTCATAGTGTTTTCTGTCAGTCTTCTCAGCCTGTGGCTTTTGTACATGATTCCACAGATACTCCACCAGGAAATTTAATTTCATATGAAGGAGTTTTAAACATGGTTCTTCGAATAAAAGTAAAATCCTCCGGTAGGCCAGAAGGAATACCGAACGAATTTTTTCGACGGTATGCCGAGCCCTTGTCCAAATACCTTGTTACAATTTTTGAAGCTTCAATCCGTACTGCAACGTTACCTAAAGAATTGAAAATGGCTCGTGTCAAGCCAATTCCCAAAAAGGGAGACCCTCTTCTTGTCTTCAATTATCGGCCAATTTCGATTATATCGTCTTGTAGCAAAATGTTAGAACACATTCTCACAACATTCATATCAAAACACCTAGATGAGCATAACTTTTTATCTCTGTATAATCGCTCCCAGTTTGTGTGCATTAATAATCAGAACTCAATTCTTCTGCCGGTTACTTCAGGTGTCCCACAGGGCAGTGTACTCGGCCCCCTATTATTTTTGATATACTGTAATGACGTAGTAAATTGTGTAAACCCACCTATTAACGTTCGACTTTTTGCAGATGATTGTATTCTGTTTAACTTGATAACTAGTGCTAATGACCAAGCAGCTCTCCAGTCCACTCTAAACAGTATATGTCTATGGTGCAATTAATGGGGGATGAATTTAAACTTGGATAAATCAGTTCTGCTCCATGTCACTAACAAGAAAAAGCCAGTGCTAACTGACTACACGCTCTCTAACCAACCTCTTAAAGAAGTTAAGGAATACAAGTATCTTGGTGTCACTCTAACGAATAATTTAAGTTGGAATTCCCACATTAAACAAGTTTCTTCCGCAGCTTTCCGTAAATTATGCATGCTAAGGCACAAACTTAAGGATGCTTCTACCAAAGTGAAATTTTTAGCTTATCAATCCTTGATTCTCCCTAAATTAGAATATGCATGCGTTGCCTGGGATCCTTATACTAAAATTAACATTGATGCATTAGAAAAAATTCAGCGGAGGGCAGTTCGTTTCATTTATTCTCTTTACAAGCCTGGTAGTTCTGTAACTAGTGTAATGCTTTCAAATGGTATCACATCTTTGCAGTCGAGACGCAGATTCTTACGTCTCAAATTTTTGTACCAACTTTCTAACTTTCTAACCGCAAATTTGCTCTGAACCCTGACCCCTACCTCACACCACTAAGAACACGCCAGACTGTGCATTCACACGCATTTTCTTTAACACCATATTTTGCTCGTACTAACTTGTTCAAATTTTCCTTCTTTCCTCGTACCATTGAAGAGTGGAACAATTTGCCTGCAAGCAGTTTACACTCTCCCGATCTTATTTACGCTGAAATTTGAAGTTGTTTTTTTAACTATTCCTTCTTTTCCCTCCCCACTCTTTCCTTTTGTTGCTTTTGTATAAATATGTCACGCTTTCCACTTTTTACTCTCTTTATTGTTGATGTTTTGAAATGTGTATGACAACTGTATTATCTTGCCCCTCCTGCTTTGGCCTCTGGCCAGCAGTATTTGTAAATAATAATAAATAAATAAAGTCACCGGACAGAGCGCTTCGTCCTATCTGACTTCTTTCAAACATTCTGCACACTAAAAATAGTATAATTCCTTTACTATGAATAAGCAATTTACACTGTGTTCACGAAAGCATAGATAACTCATATTTCTAGTTCATTTTGCAATGCATTTTTTTCCCTACATGAGGTCATGTGATAGAGTTTCGCTTTGAACTGCATTTTGCTGTCGCCTTGCACTTCGGAACTGTGGCTTGGTCACGCTGTCTAGAACAGCTTTTTCTGTAGCTCCTCTGTCGCAGTGTTTTCTTGAAGCAGAAATACAATTATGTGCGACTGTTCAACAAATGTCAGTGCGTGCTACATTTGTACACATATCTAGCGTCCTGTTGGAAAGTTTTGCTCAACTCAAATTACAGCACAGTCACCTTCCGTTCGCATAACATTCTGAACCAGTTTTAAGCAATTGCATGGCTCTGTGGTAGAACACCTTCTTGCCATGCATACGGCCCGAGTTCACGTCTCACCTGAACCAAACTTTTTTTAACCCGATAGCGTTAAAGAGCTCGTTCCATAGAAATTCCGGCGTTGGCATCATTGGTTGTGAGTGAAAAATCATCTTATGCATGGCCAAAAAATCGAGAATACAGCAAATAAAATAAATAAAAAAATCTTGGGTACGAGCGGGATCGAACCCGGTTCGTTTGCGCGCCAAGAGGATGTTCTACCGCATTACCACGCATCTGCTTGTGAATACAGTAAAAATAACTTCCTCTGCTTGGAAACGCAGTGAAAGTAGCTTTCTCGATTTACAAACACATGCGTATTGTATACATGCCCCACAATACAACATGGATGATTACAGTAATAATGTGTGGTACAAGCTCTCATTGCCAGCGTGCATCAGAACATGCGATTATCATAATGGCCTCGTGCTTTAAAGCCGGTCACGAACTGCAAAAGGCACACACTCTACTCCGCCTATTCCCTTAAGGCCACGTACTGGGTGCATAGCAAGTTCGAAAAGGTTTCATACATTAAGTGTTTGAAGTACGCACTAGGAACAGGATATTACTATCGGGTTCAATTCCTAAAGGCTAATATTTACGGTTCCCTAATTTTTTTATTACTCAATTACACTATTAATTTTTTGATCACGGAAAAGATTATTTTTTGCCCGCAATCACAGACACCGGAATTTCTACGAAACAAGCTCTATCATGTTAAAAACATACTTCAATGTTACTTAAGTAGTTGTCGGGGATGGATGTCCAGATTTTAATTCCAAAATTGACACCTACAATAGCACCGAAGGGAGGCACCACTGCTATCTTCATAAAATCATTAACAAACAATATTAATGTTTAATAAAGAATACGGAAGTGTTTACTCAAGAATAATGGTGTTAGTGCCAAGTACTGCAGTAGTCTAGAAAAAAGATTATCTGTTGTGCTGCTTCCTGCATTGTGTACTGTCTTGTGTTGAATGCCGAGCTGAAGAACAATTTTACGCGCCAATAGATGGAGCTGAAAAGAATCAACTGTGTTGTAGTATGACATGGGATATCGTTTTACTGTGGCAAACTTACACTACAAACAATAACACCCAGATGTTTGTTTTAGCTGTCGTAAAAGCGCGGCATTCGAACTTTTCTTGTTCTTGTTGCTGCTGTTGAAGGTAGAGAAGCTTTCTGTCGGATGCCGACCTGCACAGTGTCACTGTGATTGCTTGAGGCCTCTGCCAGCATTTCTAGTGCACTGCTTGGCTGCATTGTTGCCTCACTCGCTGAATGACCTGACAGCAGTTCCATCTTGGTTGGTGTCACAACCATGGAGATGGTACCACTGGCTGGCAACACCATTTGGCACGCTGCCTGTGTTGTCGTGGCTTGACTCAGTGGCTTCTCTAGCTGGCTTGTGCGTACACCACCGTCTGCCAAGCTGACAAATTTGCCTTCCTCTTTGGTTGCTGGGCTTGCCTCATCAGGCAGCATCGTGTTGCTCAGGTCCTTGTGTTGAAATCGACCCAGGGGTGAGGACATTGGCGAAGAGCAGGGACTGCTTTGAGGGTCTGCAATAAGGGATTGCGACCAAAGGGAGGATGTCGGCATAAGGTCAACCTCACTTGATTGGCTGAGTGGCACGTCAGGGGGTGGGTCACTTTGCAAGGATGGAGCACGTTTGCCATGCAGGGGCTCTTTCAGGGATGCTGCAAAAGTACTGAACATGGATTTTTCGATGATCTGCTTGGGGGGTCGGCCGATGCGGCGGCCAGAGCCACGCTTTGTCGCCACGATGCTAGATTTCAAGGCAGGCTCCACGTTCAAGCTGCTAGTTGGGTGATAGAATGGCCGGCCCTGACGACGGGCAACTTCCGGCGAACACCGTCGTGCGGTGGTTGCCATGCTTCCGGCGGGACCCATGAGGGGGGCACTAAGCACCCACTGTAGGAATGCTCCAACTTCATCCAAGATGCACCGATCCACCATTGACTGCGTGACACCCTCGAGTCGTTTCTTAAGGGCGCACATGTGCAGCGCATCGTCGGCTCCCCCGACGACCACCAGGCCCGAGACGGCCTTCATATGCTCTCGGAAGTTCTCCAGCTCGTCCATGCTGCATGACAGGGCATTCTGGCCAACCACGAAAAGCGTGGGCGTGTGGCTGTCCAGCACCGGGTCGTCCACGTCCCGCGGTCCGCCCAGCCCGACCAGCGGGAAGCCGAAGCACACCACGGCCGCCACCGATTCGAACAAGGACACCTGGCAGGCCACCAGGCCACCCACCATCCAGCCTACGAGCACGATGGGACGCGAAGAAAAGCTGCTGCGGAGCTCGAGCACCTTAGCCCGCGCCGCGGCCACCGTAGCCTCGAGCACCTGGTTGAGCGTGGCGCCGGGGCCAGCGGCGATGGTCGGCTCGACGGTCACCAGCTTGCCAAGCACCGACAGCTGGGAGCTCCAGAACTTGGGCAGTCCGGGCACCTGGGGCCGCGGCCCGCCGGAGCACACCAGCAGCAGGGGGGCGCACGGCAGTCGCTTGGGCTTGTGCTGGCTCAGGAACGGCGCCACGGGGTCCCACGGTCGGCGCAGCAGTACCGAGCCCATGGAGTGGCCCACCAGTCGGTCGACGAGATGGGGCAGGTGCGCACGCAGGGCTTGCAGGGCGTCCAAGTAGGCCGCCACATACGAGACGCTGGCCTTCTCCATCAGGACCTGATGCAGCCACTGGAGCAGCTTCAGGTCCCAGCTAGCCACGATGCGCCTCAAGCGGCGAGCCGTGCGGTCCACCGCTAGTCGCCGCAGAACGGGCTCGTTCGCGTTGTCGCAGTACGCCAATCTGGCCAAGCGGTCGGCGTGCAGCAGCCGCATCACCTGGTTGAACAGCCGCTGCTGCGAACCGGTCCAGCCGAGCCGCTTCACGGCACAGTCCCACGAGGCGTCCGGCCGGCACGAAAGCGACGCGCTGCGCTCGCACTCGCTCATCAGGTTGCGCGTCTTGCTTCCATCGTACGGACGCGTGCGCGCGCCCTTCCACGCTTCCACGTTGACCAGCACGTTTTCGCCTCCGCTCCTGCCCTCGGAAACAAACACATCCTTCATGAAGAGGAGCTTCGCTGGTTTCGCATGATGCGAGTCTGGGTGGGCGTTCCACGCCTTTGCGTAGCTGTGATCGACGCTCACTATGTGCGGCTCTTTTTCTTGGCCCGAGAGCCGATGCAGATACACTTCGGCGCTCGATGCACGTCCATCGCCATAGTGGTAGTGGTGCGCTGCCGCGGACATATCCGAATGGCGGTACGGTCACACAAACGTCGACATAACTTTCAGAGGGAAACGGTACAGTAAAGCTCTGTTGTGCGCTACCGCGGACATGTTCGAATGGCGGTACCCACACAGAACACCTATATACCAGTAGTACACCACAGAACACGATACACTACTACCACTGCTACTCCCACAGAACAGAGTTACCCACAGAACACCTATACACTACAATTTAGAGAAGGGAAACTGTTCCTATGACATTGAAACGAAAATAAGGGTAGCGGTGGCGTTGTGAACTAACTTATCCGACCTAGCGACTTTGTTGTCTGCCTTCAGTTTTGAGCAAGCGCCGCTCGGTGGCGCTCGCGACCAAGACTATTATCACGGCGGCGGGTGGTACCAGCCATAGAGTTTCTCAAAATTAACTAAAGGGCACTCTGGCGCTGCGAGCGTTCAGCGACCATGGGAATGATGGGTAGTAGTAGTTACAGTGTACTAGAATTTCTCTATTCTAGTACACTGTAGTAGTAGTACACACATTTGCCTAGTCTTCGTACTTGCGGCTTCGTTTATTGCTGTGTTTCGGTTTTGTTTTAAAGAAAAGAACAAAACCTTTTGAACTTGAGGACTTGATTCAAAATAGTAAGCTTAAAAGAATAAGGTTGTGAAGTGCAAACGGTGAACATTTGCTAATTTATGTTTTCATGAAAAAACAGCTCCAAGCCACACGAACACACGGAGCCAGAAGCAGGCTTGAAGTACGAAAATTAGAGAAATGTGTGTTCTACCCACGGAGAAAGGAAAAAGGTAGTACTACCCATCATTCACATGCTCGTTTAAGCGCCGTGTGTTGCAACTCCCACAGATACTAGCGCCAGAGTTCCCTCTAGTAAGTATTGTGGGAAACTCTATGGTACCAGCTGAGCGTTTTTCATCTGCGGCCCCTAGGAGCGCGTCAGTCGAAAGTTGTTCGAGACCTGCAACTGTACACTGCTATTTCGGAGGCTATGCAAAGTGTTGCGTTGTTGCACCGTTTGCCACGGGTGACGCTAGCGACCGAGAACATTCTAAAATAAAGGAGAAAAAGGGTGTGGCAGCCGTTTTTCTTCTCATGCGGCAGGCATCTTCTAGAGGAGGTGTTGCCTAGAGACGGCGTTGGTAGGCCTATCATCATCATCATTGCGCTAAGGCAATCGGGTGGCTGTTTTGGTTGCGGGGGGGGAGGGGGGGGGTAACGCCCTTAGGTTTATGGGCGTTTATTCGCTGCTATTGCGGTGTAGTGTTCGCGTGCACGGCTCTATAACGTTACTATAAATATTTTTGCTACGCCGCCAGGTGACCGAGACCCCACAACTGGCAAAAAGCAAGCAAAGCAAGTAAGCTTACATTTGTTTATTGACAGTCGTGAATGCAGCATTATGCATGTAAACAAGAAACGCTGTCTCTGACAGAATTTAACAATACATGAAAAAAACAGTGATAGGCATCTGCTTAATAAAATTACCAGCTGAAATTGTGCAACTTTCTCTTGGCTCGTTCAGTCAGACAACGATATTTACACTGGACACCCCTTGCACCACGGATATGGTTAAGGAGCAATGGTAGGCTGCTAAAACTTCTACGTTCGGCAACCAATAATTGAATGCCAACTGAGAATTTAAGCTGTGACTCGCCCAAGTTTAAGCGTTCGCGGCGGAGCAGCACGTTTCTGCTCGTGGATGAAGGAACTTAACATGCTCTAAGTAATATGAAGTCTTCCAGTAATCGCAACATCTCGTAACACCCCTGCAGTTCTGCCGCGAGTAACCGCAATATTGCGAAATCCACAAAAGTTGGTGTCGGGTCCCGCTCATATGCCTTCTCAAGAATTGTTTTCAGAGGCGAGAAATTATAGAGATACTTAAGTCACGTAAGAAATTACGTGGCTTAAGTATCTTAAGTAGTGTTACAGTATTCTAGTTCACTGTAGTAGTGTCGTACATTGACTCAATAAAAAAGGTTTTCACCGAAAATAGGCGACCGCCATATAGCGTGAGAGCAGGCCCGTAGCCAGAAATTTTTTTTCGGGGAAGGGGCACTTGCTAAAAACTAAAAAAAAAGAGCCCTTCTCCCCCCCCTCCCCCCCCCCGGCTACGGGCCTGCGTCCAACGCCATATAAATTGTGTTGCTGCGCCTAACTGCGTGAGAGAGATTTCAGCGGAGAGCAGCGCGCGCTCATTCGTATGTCGCCTGCGCAAGGGTACCCACGCGGCCGCGCCTCTGCGTGCAGCGCTCCAAGCGGCATCGGCGCGCTTTAGGGACCGGTTTCAGCGGCCGCTTTTCACACCTTTTCATTCTAGCCACCCTACCCCGTGGTCGTGGTTATATAAGTGGTTATATCAGAAGAAAAGAAAAGGAAAGGTGCCGACCCGTAACTGTCTTTCCTTACGAGGACACCTCAACAGGTCAGCAGAGGAATGGGATATGGGGAATAAAAGATATAGGGAGAAGGAAGGAGGGATAAAAAGAATAGAAGGAAAATAGACGGAGAAGAAGCCGCCAGCCAACGAGAGGAAAAAAGAAGGAGATAGGAAAGTGGGGATCCGGTCGAAGCAGTCCAAGGGCGGGGTGCCACAATGCGAGAGCTGCACGGCATCAGGAGACCGCGGAGGGCGAACCAGTCGGCGGGAGCTACGCTGAAGTCGGAGATCGCGAGGGCACAACCGTCCAGCTTGAAATCCTCCGAGCGAATAGTGGTCGTGGTTATGGTGGCTAGAGGGCCACCATAACCCCGTGGTTATGGTGGCCCTTCCTCTGTGCTAGAGGGGGAGGTAGTTTTATGTATCCTCCTTGGTGGCATTGCGGCGGCAGAGATATGGTGGCTAGAGGGGGAGGTGGCGCGAGCAACATTGCGGCGGCAGAGATAGAGCGCTGCCTTGCTTCATGAAACGGCCGCGGACACACGGCGGCGCTGCGGCAGGCAGTTAACCATCGAAATTTCGGCAGCACAGGGCAGACCAACATGGCTACTGTTTCTGGACATAAAGGGTGCCTATGACAATGTGGACAGGGGATTGCTGTGGCATATACTGGAAGAGGAGGGGATTGGGTCGGAATTTGTAGGGCTGCTAAGGGCAATATATGAGGGTAACAAGGCACACATTACATGGGAAGGGCGTACATACACAGAGCCCGTGTACATTCGAAGAGGTTTAAAACAGGGGTGCCCTCTTTCGCCATTGCTGTTCACACTGTACATTAGAGGAATGGAAAGACGACTAGAGGAGAGTGGATTGGGCTTTGATTTGTCACACCGAAGCAATGGAGTGTTAGTGGAGCAACGGATTCCGGGATTGATGTACGCAGACGATATAGTGCTGCTGGCGGATAATGCGGAAGAACTTCAAAAACTGGCTGACATTTGTTGTGATGAGGCAACGTACCTAGGCCTACATTTTAACCCACAGAAATCTGGAGTCATGGTGTTCAACGAGGAAGCTCATGTAGCACCAATAAGGATACAACAGGAAGCCATACCATTAGTAAATAAGTACAAATACTTGGGGATCTGGCTTAATGAAGGAAAAAGCTACCTGAATGCTCATGAAGAACACCTCAAACTGAAAGGGAGACGAAATGCAGCAGTAATGAAACATAGAGCACTTTGGGGACACAATAAGTACGAGGTAGTACGAGGCATCTGGAAAGGGGTAATGGTGCCAGCGCTCACGTTCTATAATGCCGTATTATGCTTAAAGTCAGATATCCTGTCGGGGCTAGAGGTTAACCAAAAGGCAGTCGGCAGGTTAGCTCTGGGAGCTCACAGTAAGACTACAAACGAGGCTGTACAAGGCGATATGGGTTGGGCTTCATTTGAGGCGAGGGAAGCACAAAGTAAAATACGGTTTGAGGAGCGACTTAGACATTTAGATGAGAAGAACTGGGCAGCCAGAGTGCACAGATACCTGTACCTGAAAAGTGTGGACACCCAATGGCGGAAGAGGACGCGAAAGCTGGCGACTAAATATAACTTGACCGCGGCAAATAAACAAAGGGGGCCAGTTAAAAAGCAAGTGAGGGAAACAGAGACGCTCATGTGGAAAGATAGGATGGAAAAGAAGGGATCGCTGGGAATCTACAAGGCAAGCAAACAAGAGATCCGGAAAGAGAACTTTTATGACAACAATAAAGGTAGTGCGTTGCTTTTTGAGGCGCGGGCTGGCTGCCTGAAAACTCTAGCTTACAGGAGCAAATATTCGTCACAAGATGAGACATGTGTTGGATGTGGCATAAATAAAGAAACAATCGACCACATAGTCATGGAATGCCAAAAGATTCAGCCGGATAGAAATGGGAGGAAAGTCACACTTCCTGAGGCGCTGGGCTTCGCAGTTGACGGAAGCATTAACTGGTCAGCAGTAGGTATTACTAAGCAGCGGCTGGAGTATTGGTGGAGGAAGAGCAGAGAAGTCGATAAAATAACATCCCAGCCAAGAGTAGCGGCTGGGCAAAATTAAAAAGACATCCGAGTTGAGGGACAAAATTTAAACTCGAACTATTAAGGTAGGCTAGATAGCGCATGCTGTCACCCCGATTCAAAGGGGAGGCCTTTAATCATCATCATCATCATCATCGATGCTTGCCGCGGAGCGCTCACGTGCTTTCTTTCGTGCTGTGCCGCGTTCAGTCGTGTGTGCTTCGCCCGTTCTCCTCTGCGCCGTTTTACAAAACACGGCGTGGATTGTTCGTGCAAGTTTTCGTGCGTTACCGCCAACGCTATGGAATCGGGCGTCAAGAAAAAGAAAACGACGCAGACACACTGCTTCGCACCCGGCTGTTCGTCCGGCTACGTCGAGGAGATCTGGTCAACGTGTGTCGCTGTTTTCCGTGCCGAAAGAGCCTGAACGCTTAAAAGCATGGCAGCGTGCAGTGCCACGTGCAGATCAAGTCCTCAACGCAAGCTCAAGAATCTGCGAGCTGCATTTTGATGAGCAGTACATTGTGCGATCGTTTACGCACACGATCAACAACGTGACAGTGACGATTCTTCGCGATCGACCTGTGCTCACAAGCGATGCGATTCCGACTGTGTTCCCCAACCTCCCTCAGTATTTGTCGAAGAAGGCACCCCAGAAAAGAAAGTTGAAAACGTCGACGCGTGGCCTTCCTGTGAAGTCTCTGAGACAAGTAATGCCACATGTACCGACGAGGTAGACGTTTTAGAAGAAAAAAGTGCGTCGCCCGAAGTAATCTCCCCAGTGCTGCCTGATGTCGGGAACTGCCGACTGCCCAGCGCTTACTGGACGCG